GAAACAAGGCATGGACATTACAAAATGAAACCACCTGCATATGGTTACAAAAGTGTAGCAATTGTAAGAGATGAAGGTCAAATCTGAAATCTAAGTCAGATTTGAACTTCCAACTACTTAAAGATACTTTTGAAAAATGGTCAATTTGAAGACCTTTTTTACCTTTCAAAGTTCATAGAAGGTCAAATCTGAATGTAAAGTCAGATTTGAACTAATGAGTACACGTAGAAGATTTTAAGCAAATTTCTCGAAAATTGCCCTTTTAACCATTTTCGACCTTAAGAATGCCATTTAAGGTCAATTTCAAATCTAATGTCAAAATTTTTTTGACACTTTTTGACCTTAAGAATGCAACTATAGGTCAACTTTCAAATCTAAAGTCAGATTTGAACTTGATGAGTTTGAACACAAGAACGAAGCCTTATTCATTAAGCCAACGTAAATATTGCCATTTAAGCCCAAGTAACTCAATTGTACGTTGGACGTAAAAAACATCTCTCTCTCGTACTTATAAACATACGCGGATTGAAGATAAGCGTTTAACCTTTCGCAAGGACTTACGCAATGAAATTTATATACTATACATCATATCATGTCCCATTTTTGACCAAATACATGTACGCATTTGAATATGATTGCATCGTTCATGCACGCGTAATTCGACGCGTTCCTCGTTGTCACGATTGCGTCTCGATATTTATACAAATATATAAAAGCTTACTGTATTCCATTTTCCACATTTCCCGGCAAAATTATGTCTAAGAAAAAAGACAAGTAAGCTTTACATCTTCGGAAATGAAGCGCTCATAAAGAAAATTGAATTTGAACAAGATGTTATCAATAACAATTTCACTAGAATTATTGTTGATATCATTACTACTTTGCTCCGAATCGAGTGTTTTTTGGTAAGAATTATTTAGATCCAAACTCGCCGCCATAGTTTATTTACTCATGTCCTTGACACTATTACAACGCGTGTTCTAAAAAAGCCTGCGCATAAAATCAAAACAAAATCAATAAAATAGCATTTAATTCAAAATGTGTAAAAAATTTACGGAAATTGAGAAAGTTTTATACAAAGTGATTACATGAAGACATCTAAATCATCTTATTAAGCCCGATAATACTTGGAACTACATTCTGGCAGTTCAATCAGGCAAGGCTGTTATTTGTCAAACCATTAAGGCGGTAAATTCAAAACTTATGAAAAAATAGTATCCGTCGGATACGATTAGATATCACGTCATATGGAACGGATACGATTTTAGTGTCGTATACCAAAATTATTTTGTGTTGTTATCCCCCATATACAGGGTGTCAAATAAGTTCGGTCCCCCTGCTACAGCGAAAACCTTAATAGATAGTACCTAGTGTGATATACCACTGGAAAGATCATCCAAAGTTATATTAACTCACCAACTGTCAAGTATTTTAGATGGAATTCACCTATATTTTCATGATGTCCTTTATAGTTACTGTACCCTCCTTAAGTAGATTTCATATCGTATAAAATGAGAAGGATATGACCTCAGAAATATGTCAAAAAGTTAATCTTTTTCGCATTCAACTTGAAACAAAAAGGTTTTCACCATTTTTCCATGCACCTCTATTTTCTACATATCTAACCCTATCCAGAAATTGGATGAATTCATTGCCATACATATTAGTCATCTCTAGGTCCTTTGACTTTTCTTGTACCCGATTCTTAAAATCCTGCCAAATACGCCAAATTGCCATGTTTCTAGGTCTATGGTCACCTCAAATAATATAATGTAAAAATTTGTGAGATTGATTGACATGTGTCAGATTTATGCCAATTAACGTAAATTTGGAAGACATTTCCAATGATATATCTCATTTGGTACCATTTAACTTGGTCGTGGTGGAACTTATTTGACACCCTGTATATTTAGTATCCATGGGATAAAATGCTTTATTCCATAGTTATCAATATATTCATAGGATATAACGTCAAAATAAAAACGGTATTTTTGTAATCAGTGGTAAAATATGATATTTTTGACAAATTTTCACTTAACCATAGCATACGGTGTTTTAGCCATGACATACGGCGCCGTATGCTATGGATTATGGGTTTTTGCTACTTCAGACTCAAAACGAGGCTAAGTGTCAATATCACCGGATCGTTTGGGAAATTCGTTTTAAATCCAAGGAGGATTGGAAGCCAGGGTTCCAACTCGATATTCTTTAATCTCCACGCATGCGTCATTTGCTATTCGTGTCTGTATAATTTGTACGACTGCATGGAGAATGACCCGATACTCTCCAACAAAGCTATCGCTAGGTGATTATTTTGCAGAATATCGGTGTTGCATTCTGGGAGCCAATCCTCCTTGTTTTAAATCATTTAATTTCCGACGATTCTGATGATGACTTTAGCTATGGAATAAAAAGAACATCCTATGATTTACTCGTGATATGATTTTAATCCACTCATGGATATTGATATCTACACTCTCTCGCTACATCATATCACTCATAAATCATAGGATATCCTCTATTTATCCTATGCCAAGTAGAGTTTTAGGGAGATAAGTTGGTAAGATATATCCCGTATCCTGATTTTGAGGTTTCCATATCCTGAACCTTCATATCTCCCGCAATATCTCCCGCTCCAGGGCATATCTTCCCGCTTCGAAAAAATTTTTTTTTTAATTTTAAAAAATTGAAAAAAATAAAAAATGTGAAAAAATGTGAAAAAATAAAAATTTGAAAAAAACGAAAAAATTGAAAAAAATTAGAAAGAAAATTAGAAAACTCTACTTGGTATAGGATAAAGCAGTTATGTACGGTCGGTTTGGATATTGGGTTCATCCCTCGTGAGATATGCACATCTACCTTCGGTCCCTACGGTCCCTCAGGTAGATATGCATATCTCCCTCTGGATAAACCCCATATCCAAAACCTCCCAGTACATAAGCCTTATTTATCCTTATTCAATTCTGGTAAAATTCATAGAGCAACAAGATCTCGATGACAATATTTCTAAAATATTTTTGAATTTTGAATACCTGCATTAATGGAGGAAGGGCACAGTTCTTCCGTGTTTGGGAACTTAAGTCCATACTAATTCGCTGTACCAACTCAAAAATTAAATTTATTTATATATATAATTAGACACATTACGAGTACATCTAAACGAGAACACAAATGTGTACAAAATGTCCCCATCAATGCGTGATCCTGTCAAATGATTACCCAGAATGCCAAAAAATGAGTTAGTTCTAGATTTTCATACTAACATCCACCCCTGAAAATTTGAAATTGATCCATCACACAGTTAACCAAAAAACATGTAAACAAGACTTTATAGGCAAGATTTTAGAAGGGAAAATCCAAAATGGCTGCCTTCACTTTTACCCAGAATGTCAAAAACTAATCTGTTCTAGATTTCCATACTAAGAATCATCATATCCCTGAAAATTTGAAATTGATCTACCAAATGGTTCAAATGAAAACGCACAGCCAAGACTTTACAGACAAGATTTTAGGACGGAAAATCCAAAATGGCTGCCTTAAACCTGCACATCGCTCCAAAACGCAATATGTTAACATATATTTTTTTTACATTTTCAAGCTCTAATATGAAGTTTATGTAAATAAAATTGTTTTTTTCTGCGTAATATCAAAGAACAATCATTTAGTTAAAAAAAATAAAAAATACGCAAATGGGATTCGAACCCAGGCCTCCCGCGTGCTGAGCAAGCATTCTACCGCTGGACTCGTGTTGTTATGAATGGTGGGGGTAATTAAATGCTACTTATTTTGAATGCTATGATTCGGAAGTGACGTCACGTTCTTCATTTAGAAACCTTTCAAAAAGCATATCGACGGCTCCGATCGAAGCACATTCAATGAAAAATCTTTAAAATGACACATTTATCGTAATTATTTCTACACAAGATTTGCCCCATTTGTTCATCATTCTATAATCTTTCATTAAGCTCAAAATGATATGGTTCACCCCCGAAACAACCCAAGATTGCGTTTCGGGGCAAAGTCCAGCTTTAACATTTACCAAGAATGCAAAAAAACTAATCAGATTTAGATTGTTGATCCAAGAAACGGTTCACCTAAACGCGTAGACAAGACTTTGCAGGCAAGATTTTAATTAGACGGAAAATCCAAAATGGCTGCCTTGACATTTATCCAGAATGCCAAAAAACTAATCAGATTTACATATTCATATATACTAAGAATCATCCCTGAAAATTTGAAATTGATCTACCAAAACGGTTCACCTGGAAATGCGTAGACAAGATTTACAGACAAGATTTTAGGACAAAAAATCCAAAATGGCCGACAATAAAAAAAGTGATAATGGGTTTTTGCTGATTTATTTTTTAAAGTTCTAAAAGCAACTGCGAAGTAGCTGTTTCGGAGAAAATTGCCGGACGTACACACGGACGGACGGACAGACGGACGCGCCTAGGCCAACAATATGGCCCCACACTATGTGGTGGGGACATATAAAGGGTTTCAAAAAATCTCATGGTAATTGGATACTAAACGTATGAATAAACAGTGTTTTTAAGGCTGGACGTAAAGTTACACGGTGAAAATACTTGTCACAAATATTTTGAAAGATCCGCATGACTTAACGTTCATCGTAAAGTTACGTTCGCTTTATGAATACCAAAGTAAGTTTCCACAATACGATACATTGACGTAAATCCTATGTTGGCTTTATGAATAAGGGTCTTGGTCGTGGTTCGCGAACGCGGATCTCCGTGCGCGAGTAGAGAAAAATTTCGGGAGCTAGGAATGGTGGTGTTCGACTAAAGATTTCACGTTCACGATGTGATGTTCGTGGTTCGAGTGCAAGGAAAGTAGTTCGCGTGGTCAGAACTGATGTTCGCGATGGTCATAGTCAAGGAGGCCTATATACCTTGTGTAATGTAGATGACCTCATATGATTATATTTTTCTTTAAATGTTAGGGTGTGGAAGTATAAGTGTTTCTGGTTTGCCCGAAGATTCTGGTATGAACGGTGATTATGAAATTAACGGCGATCCCAATGCACTATTGCCACGGTACACGAAAGAGGGTAATGCAGAATACAACATGTATTTTGTTCAGACTTCCACAACGCAAGGCAGATGGGCAATCGCTACTGCGTTTCATTCGACTGTTTATCGTGCTCGTTCGAATATTGTCACTCATGAGTCTAATCAAATTAATCCATCTGGAACCAGCTGGGAATATGGCGAAGATTCTAGAGAGGTCACGCAGACAAATTCAAAGTGGGTTTGTCTCGATGGTATGGATGGTATGTATATTTAGTTTTTTGGTTCTTTCATTTAAATAACCATTAAACATTGTCAGAGCTGAAACAATGCATTATGAAGGTAACGTTGCACATGTTTTAACAAAACGGTTCTCTATGGATTAGTTCTCCCGTTTGTAGTTAAATAATGTTAAATTGGTCATAGAACAACCACCCAGACCTGGTCGCATTTATGAATATTTGAGAAAAATATTTATTATCATTTTCAAAAGTGTGATGATAACAAGCAGTGACGTCCGAAAGAATAAATAATCTTCTCAACAGAAAATAAAATAAAAACACCATGAACTTAGTTTTAAATGAGAATTCGTGTTACTCTTGTGGCAAGAATATTTGATTTTTTATTGAATCAGACATGAAGTAATACATTTAACAAGGCAAAGATGAAATATTACACAACTTTCACACCTCCTCCGGATCCATTCATTCAGACATTCACAGCAGTCATACCCAAAAGTTCTGGTATACGAGTATATAAAACATAGTATTTTCAAATTGAGTCACGTCCAAGTTGGGATTTACCTCATTAAATTGTTTTGCATATATATAATATTTGATTGCTAGTGATAGCCTGTTTAGCAAAATATTTTCATTATTTACAGATCTTCCGAACACCATATCTTGGGCATGAGAATCAAGATTTACATTAAACGATTTCTCTAAATTATCTTTAACAGCTTTCAAAAAAATCTGAACCCGCCTACATTCCCAAAACTTGACGTGCTTTATAGTGTCTCTTAATGGACAGTAACTACATTTAGCATCCTGTTCAATTCCTATCTGCGTTTAGTAAGCATTTGTGGTACAAATACCATGAAGAATCTTAAATCGGAGTTGTCGAATTCTATTTTGTTTCGTGCAGCTTTAAGCCATTTTAAAGTAGTCTGTTCTTTTTTAATCACAATCATGTTAATCTTTATACAGTGGTTTGGTTCCAAATATTTGTTTCTATCTATTATTTTTTTGTAAATGACCCCATTATCCATAAGATGCTTATTTATTACGTCTTTATTAGTCTTTGTTATTAATTAGGACCAATCTATTAGTCCAGAGTATTTCACTTTTAACTTCGGAACTAGATCTTGGAGCTGGCATATTCCTTATATCAGAGTAAAGGAGGGCGAGTTGTTTGTAGAATGAATCGGGGGATTTTTTTCATGAATTTCGCTTATGTTTTTCATCCAAAAAACATCAATACACTTTAAAACATTTTGTTTACTTTAAGATTACACCATGTAATCCAAAAATATATTTCTCGTTTTCAAAGATAATCCATGGATTAACACCCAGGTATTTTTATTTTTCAAACTTCAGAGGGCTGGGAATCATTGATGCTCAACGCTTTTGAATATGATAAATGCTGTTTTAAATAGGTTTTACGTATGCCATTAATTTCTCAAATTATGTAAGCTGAATGCGCCCTAGAATATTCTCTTGGAGGAATCCAATGGTAATCCAATGGTAGTTCCAAGCAGATTTTTAGATGGCAGGTAAGTAAATTCTTTAGTACTCGCCTTATTGGGTTGAGTTAGTTTATATTCAAAAATTATATATGATTCTGTAAAGATGTCAGTGTGGATGCTATATAGATTGCACAGTATGGTAAGCTGTATAATCCTATATTATGTAACACGAGTACAGTTTTGGTTGACATGATTGTGACTGAGTGAGAGATTAAACTCTTTAAGGTAGTTCTGCATGTTGATAATTTTTACTAATTTTGGTGATGAATAAATTATCTGATATTTATAAATTGGGCAAAATTTTTTACATTTTAAGTGGATATAAAGAATTATGGTAACATACACATGGACCATGCATACACATACAAATACAAATGTGAAAATATTGTCCCTTTCATTGATTATCGGTATTTATAATCATGAAAATTATTGAAAAATATCGAGACATGTCTACCTTAAAATCAAATTGGCTTACAAGTACCCTAAGCTATTTTTACATTTTTATTGCAAGAAAATCTTTTTGCAAGGGTTACAAAGGTTGAAATATTGTGGTGGCTCTATTTGGCTGGAGTTTAATATTCAGACCTAGCTATAGGTATTATTACATTTATATGTACACTAGTATCTTGTTGACCTATATTCAGCACTGTATTGATGAATGGGCCACTTATTAGGGCCAATATTCAATCATCAAGTGTACCAAACAGAGATGCCAAACCAAGAAGTCTTTTTGTGTCTGTCAAAATCCATTTGCATCCTACACATCCCAACATATTATCCAAATATGTTATTAATTAATGAAACATAACAGTATAATCTTTGGATTTAGAAAGTTGTATGGGATTTCATTAGTATAAAAGTTGCTTTTGAAGCATTTTTCTATAGCCATTTTGTAGGAAAAAATGATGGAAAAAATGTATAATCTTTTAATTTGAAGTATGACCTGAATCGATTGCAAACTTTATATTTGCACATCTGATGTGATATACCATTTGTGTCATACTGTGAAATTATTTAATTTGCAATCGATTCAGGTCATAGTGTATTTTAGGTATTTTTGTGAAAATCAATAGAAACCAATGGCCTCTATTGGAATTGATGATATCCACATGTTAAGTCAATGGAGCCCATTCAATGGCAAGTCAATACACCCTTGCTGAACTAAATGACCTCAACCTCAGCCCATGTGGGTCCAAACGCCCAAATATTTTCCACAGTATTATGTGACATTGAATTCTTTATGTTACACCTAAAAATGATTCATTTTGTTCATGGGGATATCATAATGGAAAGTGCACTAGACCCTTATTGTAATTGTATGATATCGTATTTGTGATTTGAATATACACTGTGATATTTGAGAAAAATAATGTTTTGTTTTAGTTTCATTGCAATTTATAACCCTAATATCCTTCCCAGAATCCTTCCTTGTCTTCCAATTTTCTAATAACCTCAGAAGTTCCTACTTTTTTAAAAAAATACAATTTTCCATGATCATTTTTATGTCACCACCACAAGTGGTAACATATTGTTATGGTCTCAAACTTTTTTGTGGACGGTGTTCAGTGGTTGGTGTTTATCACTTGGCAGTTGGTGTTTGGCAGTTGGTGTCTGTAACAAATGGCAGGTGTTGACATTTTGCATGTGAATGCCTTGTCTTATAATGTAGCCAACTGCAATGGATGTAAAACGGATACAGTTAACTAATACATTTCTTGGCATCAATTCAAATCATATGCTAATTTTAAATGAAAATGCTTTTTTTCATGTTTTACCACTCATAAATGCCATAATATCTCGATGTCACATTCAGGAAAATATGGCTATCAACAAGTTTTGAATTCTTACAATCCTGGAAGTTGTACATGTAAGCGTACACATCTGTCAGTTCAGTTTATGTGTAAAAGTTAATCCCCTAAGCCTTAATACCTGATGCATGAAATATTATGAATGCATTACATAATATGTACTCGTGCTATTTAGGTAAATGTTGTGCTGTTTCACCAGATTTGACTGACATCTTTAAATAACAACAATTTGATTTGATGATCAGACAGCAACAAAACATATTAAGTGGCCAAGACAAAAGAATGTTATTATGATAGGCATTCTAGGGATTAAGGAATGCATTCAGCTTACATAATTTGAGAAATTATTGGCATATGTAAAACCTATTTAAAACAGCATTTATCGTATTCAAAAGCGTTGAGCATCATTGATTCCCAGCCCTCTGAAGATTGAAAAATAAAAATACCTGGGTGTTAATCCATGGATTATCTTTGAAAATGAGAAATATATTTTTGGATTACATGGTGTAATCTTAAAGTAAACAAAATGTTTTAAAGTGTATTGATGTTTTTTGGATGAAAAACATAAGCGAAATTCATGAAAAAAATCCCCCGATTCATTCTACAAACAACTCGCCCTCCTTTGTAAAATATTTGAGTAAAATTCAGGCACGTCGTGGGTTATTGTTTTAATATCAAAATTACATTGAATAAATAATTTAATTCCCCCAAGTGGTTTAAAGTACAAATCTGGAATATATTTCCAATACATTTGCAGAGGTTCAATTAATCTTTTTAGCCACATCAGTTTTAGTGCCTTTTCCATAGAAAACATGTCAATCATTCGTAAACCATCCTCGTCGTAATCATCAATTAAAGTTCGTCTCTTAACCTTTTTAGCTTTTCCACCCCTTAGGAATGAGTAAATTATCTGTTGTGCCTTTGTTAATATATCATTTTGGGTATTTGTCATTGACATGGAGTATACCAGTTTAGAAATACCAAGCGTTTTAATCATCAGAACTCGACCGTATGAAGTTAAATTTCTTCTTGACCACATTTCAATACTTTTTGAAGCGAGTCTAATTTCTTCTCAAATGACTGTAACCATAGATCATTCATGTGACATTTATATTCATGGTGACATCACCTAGAATAAATTGTTTCACTTTGTTGAAGTAATACTTTCATGATATTAATTATTTTGATTCTTAATGTCTGCATCACTTATGTCAAATTGATTGATGATACTGAAGAAATAAAAAATATTTCCTCTAATAGGGGTGTGTCCTGAGATGGGGGGGGGTATGTAACCACTCAAAAGAAATTGGGCCAGAGATGTCAATGTTCAAATCAAAAGTCTTTGAATAGACACCCTTATGGTTTACAATTGAAAATAAAAAATATATTTTTCGGGTGCATGAGGACCATTCGTTTCTATTAAACTATATATGTCTACTACTACTACTACTACTACTACTACTACTACTACTACTACTCTATGTCTAGGAGAATAATCCTTCGAATGGTAATTTGGCTAATGGCAGTCATGGCTAATTAGTTGTCGATGTATATATTTCAATCGATTCTTGTATTTATATAAAACGGGGTTCTTTCTAATGATATTCAATGAGAAACATGTTACATGACCGTAGATAAAGCAAGGATAAAAACATGAAGTGGACAGTTTCTCCTTGTTCAATCGTATTTTTTCTGGCCGAATATCGGTGTTTATCTGAGTGCTTAATTAGTAGAAGTTCAGAGTAATTTGTCTGTTCTTTTATTTCATCTTAAGCATTCTTTTTTAGCGAGTTCAGCTACAGGTGTCGGCAAACCCCAACAAATCGCGATTGGTGCAGCATTGGTAGTAGCGATATTCATGCTGACATGCTGATAGTTCTGTTGTTGTACAAAGAACAACGCAGAGGAATGGAAATAAATTGACACGATGAGTATGATTAATATTAGAGACACAATCAGGAAGTAAAGGGTGGATCACAAAAGGAAACCAAATCAAATGGTAATAACAGTCACCCGGCATGGGCTTAAGATCATGTTTAGCGTTATAAAAACGTGTTCAATGTTGTTTCACTCTCCTCGGTTTTATTGGTCTATTCAAAATTGTAATGTGAAGGCGTCAGGAGTAGTTTAAAATTTTGATTACACATTCAAATAATATCTTGTGTTATGGGTCTCATCTTCCATATTCTTTCTTTTTAGAACTATCTAATACTATTAACATTGTCAGTGTACATACACTCCCCTCCACAAGTCTGGCAACCTTAGCTCCGCCATTGAATTACGTGTTAAAGCCTCTTTACCTTTGAATTTTTATTTACTTTAGATGAAAATACTTACACTATTAATGAAAACGTAATTTGACTTTATTTCCAATACCTACAAATTTTCTCAATTTTTTTCCTCAATTAAAATAAGTCGAAAATTGATGATTCAAAAATGTTTTTCTCTTAAGCCAATCATTGAAAACATTATGTGAAAAACACGGTATTTTATGTAATGTTGACTGATTGACAACAATTTAATGCGAAAATTATTTAGAAATATTTTATATAACTGTTTTTGTTAACATTTTTTGTTTTTTAGTGCAATTGTTTTTGCTCCTTTCTACCAATTCTTGAGAAATAAATAAAATGTCTTTCCGAACCTTGTTGGAATAAAATAGCATATGCAACATGTTTTTAGACCTCTCAATATTAAAGTTATACAAAGGAATTTTTGGTTGATTTTAAAAAAGTATTCAAAAAATTAAAATAAAATCCCCCTAAAATAGATAAAAAATCAAGAAAAACCGTTTATATCATTAACAAGATACTTTTTTAAAATCAACCAAAATTTCCTTTGTACAATTAAAAATATTGAGAGACCTAAACATGTTGTGTTTATGTCGTTTTGTTCCAATGAGGTTCGGAAAGATGTTTCATTTCACTCTGGATACCAAGAACAAAACAATTAGTGATTGGTGTGTTTTTTAAAACAACATAAATGAAAGTATGTATATCTATTTCAATTATATTGTTACCATTCAAAAGATCGCCATTAAATTGACAATTTGTAAGATTTTCAGAAATTTTTGATGATTTTTGATTGTAAGTTACTTCATCGCAGTTTAAGTAAATAAAAATTCAAACGTAAAGCGGCTTCAACACGTACTTCAATGGGGGAGCTAAGGTTGCCAAACTTATGGAGGGGAGTGTATTATCTTTAACATAGTAAAGAAATAAAAATCAGGGGGTTCATATTGGTTGAGTTTGGCATGTTTCGTTATTGGGAGTGCCTTTTGTGAATATTCCTTGAAATCGTGACCATTTTGAAAAGACCAGCGAAATGTCATTAAGCATAAACACCACCGGACACGGAACCAAATATAAATGTAAAACTCATGCAGGATGACGAATTATCAACATTTGTTCATGTTACCTTTTTGGCTCACCTTGTAATATTCTTTGTAAAAGTTGTGATTTTGCAACTCAAATATAGCTTCATATGCATTTAATAGTATAGCAACTGTATTCCTTGGCAAGAAAGTAATGGATATCAGAGCACAGTGTAATGTATTAAGTATCTTGTCTATTTTGGAATCGTACAATTATGATAGACAATTCGATATACTCGATTTGTTGTCTTTGGAATTCTTGCTGTTATAATAGACAATATGAAATATGGGTCTCTGTGTAGTTTGAAGTCTTGCTATTGTGAGAACATTATGGTGAATTAACCAAATATTTCATTCCATGGAGAGCAATACGTGAACCTGTTCATCTTTCAATTATTCCTTTCTGAATAATTTATTTAATCAATAAATATATCATAAGCCCCAAAGTTAACAACTTGCGATTATAATATACACTATGGTGTATTTAGGATACTTGTGATTATGATAAACATTATATTGGTCTTACTATAGTTAGATCCATGTATAGTGAATGTATAAGTCAAGGGGTATTTACTATTCTTGCGATTACGATAGACAATATGATGTATTTGTCTCTTATGTTTTTATGATTCCTACGATTATTGTAAACATTTTTATTACGCAGAATATGGCAGATATTCATGGTCGCGCGGTATTTGTGATACAGGGGAATATGCCATACTCACCTGCTGTATATGACATATTCTTCAGGTGAATATTCATATTCCGCTGTGGATATGTGATACATTGCTTCCAGTGAGTCCGATACCCACCTGAGGAATATGCCATATTCACCTGCTCAATATTGTCATATACCGCAGGTGAATATGACGTATACGGTAGGGGAAAACATCACCCAGAAAGCCTCGAATTGATTAGTCGAGAAGAATAGACTCTATATGTAAAACCATGCTGAATCACTAATATTGTGAGCTGTTCGAGTAATAACATAATATCAATCATTGATTGCTTGAAGTGACTGATGAGTGATACTTCTGAAAGTATCAGAAAAGTGTAAATCGTGTTCGTGAATACAACATTACATTCATACTTTATAGATTTGTGTCTGGTCACCTTCGATTGTCGATTTGGTTAAAAGCCACACATAATCTCCACGAACGTAAGTTAGTATATATTCATATATCCGATGTATTCCTTTGCAGTGTGTATTTGTCTCTGCATCACATCGGAAAAACAACCTCAAAACATTATAGATATCCACTGGTGTATGTTATTCAACGATATAAGATGATATATTCAATACACTGCCATATTGTTATTGCAGTAATCAGTATGACAAGCTATAAATTTTGCTCATTCGTTCAATCCATTTCATATACCGCAGGTGAGTATGACATATTCACCCGTATCACAAATTCCGCGCAACCATGAATGTATGCCATATACCGCGTAACAATAGATACCCACTGGTGTGTGTTATTCAACGATATAAGATGATATATTCAATACACTGCCATATTGTTATTGCAGTAATCAGTATGACAAGCTATAAATTTTGCTCATTCGTTCAATCCATTCAATTGAGAATTGCGTATCTCTGTATCACATTCTCATTGGTTAGTGAATATGCCATACACCGCGGGTGAATCTGTCGTACACCGCAACAGAAGATGCCATATAAGTATCGCGTTGACCGAATAGCAATTAAGATGTATTAATCTCTGGATGCTTTGAAATTATGCTTATCCTGATAGATAATGTGATACATATTTAGAGATGTAGTGTATAGTAATCGGAATTTATATTATTCAAGAGATGTATTAGTGGCTACATCATATTCAAGATAAACTAAATTTTCTACAATAATTGGAATGTGTATTATTCAAGAGATAATATACGAATTAGCAGGCTGAATTATTCAATTTTGTATTAGTCATAAGTTTTATTAAAATCATGTTTTTGAGCATATATTATTAAGTAAGGCCCGTTTACAGTACTGTTATACATTTAGTTTTAGGTTTGTAATATTATGATATGATTGGACAATGGAGCAAACGGAATGTTCTATACTGTATATAATACAGGGTGTTAAAAAACGCAACCCAAAGAAATCGCTATATATCTTAGAAAATTCTAATTCAATTGTATAATTTTTTTTGGAATAATGACGAGACTGTGTAGATGTTTAGTTGTAAAACATGATGCCTTGGACACCTGCTCAAAAGACAGTTCTACTAGTCAGGTGTGATTGCAACCGCAAAAAACTAAATAAGTTTCTAACCATAGTGTTTTGGCTCTTCAAATTTGGCACAAATCATCTTCAGTAAATGTATGGTAAATCTGACGAGTGAAATCAAAATCACTTTAGGGACTTTACAGTCATGGTCGAAATTGTTTCAAATCCCAGTCAAACGCTCTGGTATAGGCAGACTTAGGAAAGCATGACTGTAAAGTTCCTGTGGTGATTTTGATGAAACTCCACAAATTCACCACTTTGAATGAGTGTTATTTGTGCTAAATCTGAAGTTCAAAAACACTCTGGATAGAAAGTTATTTGGTTTTATTGTAGTGACAGTCACCTCTGACTGCATTTTTCCTAGTACACCTGTCTTTTTAGCAGGTGTTTAAGGCATCATGTTTTACAACCATCAACAGATTCTATACATACACAGTCTCTTCTTTCTTTTCTGAAAAAATGAACATAATTGGATGAGTATTTTCCAAGATATAGCGATTTATTTTGGTTGCGTTTTTCAGTTCATTCAAGTTTAGTTCAACCAGGTGCGGTTTGTCAACGTTCAGTACGGTTCAAGAGTGACTACATAGTAAAGCTAATATTTCATAGACATTAGTAAAGCATATATGCTATTGGTGATTTTATTGTGATTTAAAGTGAAATAAATGATCTGTTGTAATTTGTTGTATAATAACTGACGCAATCTTGTTTTGTTTGTCATTCATTTACACACACTGTAATACACCAAACACGTGTTACACCCAAGTGCCAGCTCATGAGAATCCTAAAATATATCGTAGCCAAGGTGATGTGTCAGTTTGGCCCAGGCTATTCCTTAAGTTTACAACATGGAATATTCAGGCACTGTGGGGGTAAATCCGGACATAACTTTTCCTCCGTCTTACATGGATCTTTGATAGTCTCCATCGCGAGCTGCAATCTATTAGGAATCTTCCATGCATATACCACAGGGGTACCACGCACCTCAGAAATGAATTCCATTGCCTTGCTAGTATACACTTGCGATTCCTTGTTCGCACAAAAATAGTCACATTCGTTGAGAAAAGAGGGTTGTTCCCAGCCTGGGGTTAATTTTATAACGAAAGGGAGTTTAAGGCGAAGGGGGATTCGCAAGAGTCCAACGAATCCCCTATTTTTCTTCTAGAGTTGTAAGTGGTACAATATCCTTGAAATAGCTAAAAAATGAGATTCATATTGAGTGAGTTTTGTATGTTTCCGTATTCTGAGAATGTTTTTTTAATGACCAAAACATCACAAACGTTAGAAATAAACCATCTAAAACTCATATATGTACACGGTTCAAAATATTATCTTAAATCCCCGCTGGCTGGCGGAGTTATTAGTTTTTGTTTGGGTTACCTTTTTGGCTCACCCTGTAGATAAACGACGACGTATAGACGACGATTTTTAAGAATATCACACCTATGGACGTATGAAGCTGCGCAA